AATTCAATCCCCGAGGTAATAAATAAAATTAAACCTTAAGTATCAACCCTTTTACGTACATTAAATTAATATACATTTGTTGGATTAACTGGGGTAAAAGTTTTTACTCGAATAAATTAGTACTTTATCAATATACGAAATAAATATTTAATTCTGATCATAATACATTGCCTGAAGTATCAGATTAAATTAATTTATCGTGCTTTCCCCATTCTTACCATTTCTGTCTATATCATATTTCAATTTTACGTCATTTTAAACACAAATTTTCATTTTAGACACAAACTTCATTATCACGAAGACATTCAATTTTACATTTGTTGAATTATCTTTTAACCTGATGTGTATTATTTCACTATCCGCGCGAGCGAGCTTAGCGTCCATCAGCTGTGTATCTACCGGCTGTAAAACCGTAATCGCGTGTTAGACATTACGATCTCCTAACTTTACGGTCGCACTGCCGCGGTTGTAAACGAATCGTTGTAAAATTTTTAGCGGGGAAACACCGTTCTCGCCGGAAATTTACTGCGAAATCGCGCGCGGTTCGAATCGTTCCCCCGGACGTCTGACTTATACCAGGCTATACTACTGACAGGATCGATTTAATAAATCGGTTTTACGAGTCACAAAGTTCACTGATAAACTGTCCGCCAGTTTCAAACATTTTTCGATCACGTACACAGAAGAAAGGAAACTATTTTTTCCCGCTTGCATTATTTACGTTTTTTGCACATGCAATTTTTATATAAATACGCAAAATCTGTAGTTCAGTAATTAAAAATGATAATTACAAGTTATTTGTAATAATTGTTTCGTAAGCGGAGGAAGCGAGCTTCATGAAACGAAAGATAAATATTCGGAGATGCACTTGCGGTGAAGGAACGTTTTGTGAAGCATTGCACGCAACATCCGTGTATCCGCTCATCTGTACATGTGCGAAGAGTGGTTAAAAGGAAAGGTGGGAAGAGCAGTAAAAGGATAAACGAGGCTCGCTCTGAAATATGTGCTCTCGCCATTACGAAGACGTGTACCCCGACGAAGAAACTTAACGTCAATTCTTCACCGCGATTACTAATCGTTGGGAACGCTCGAACTTGGAGCATGGTTTCTGCTCGAGTCTGTGGTTGGCTGAAAAACTTCTTGCAATTTTTCTCTCTACTCCTATCCTTTCTAATTTGCTGTTTTATTATTTACATAGAACGAATTTTATTTTATGTATGAAACATTTTAAACAGCGTTCGCTAATACGAATATTTTGAGCTCGGGTTTCACGTTGCAAAAATTTGCCAGGAGGATTTATAGGAACTGGTGATAAAAACTTCCACCCCTGTAATATTTCTGTCGGTCTTGCGGTAAATTAAATATTTCTCCCGGGCCGGTGCAACATACAGACTGGGCAACCCTCTACCCCAAATCTCTACGTGAAAGGATTTTCGGGGTGGAACCGGGTACCCGCGATGAATTATTGACGGGTCTGCGGTCGACTTCGTCTCGTTGGAAAAGTAATTTATAGCCGTGGCCGGCTCGAGCCCTTAGCAGCGGGAGTCAGGCTTGTAATAACAAGCGGGTAGCGCGCGATCGAATATTCTTGTGTGAAATGTCACCGGCAGCCGCGAAAATGTGAAACGGGATCGACGAGTCGCGGACGGACAATTACGGGATGACAGAAATCGTTGAAAGGTGCAAAGAAACGTTTGCATCGCGATTACCAATTAGTTTCAGCAGAAATAAAAATCAGGAATATTTATAATTATTCTTATGCATTCAATTAAGAAAAATCACGATTATGATATAATTCTTATATTAAATTTTTAGAACACGTATCGACTTTAGAATTCAGAATAATATAATGAAACATTTCTAGTCGGGTAATATCCTGTTCATTCACCGGAAAAATTGTCAACTTGTAGAGAACGTGGGATCCGTTCGGAGAAAGACGGGTTACATTATTCCAGGATTATTCGAGGGTTTCGTGACGGCACAATGGTCCTACGGGGGATGAAATAAAGCGCGATTCCCAATCTTTGTAGCCGAAAATCGTGCTTGATCCCCGCGCTAGGGAAAGAAGTGCAAGCTCATAGAAACTCGAAAACTTCTCAGCTTTCGACCGCGAGGGGGAAACAGTGAAAGAAGAAGAAGAAGAAGAAGGGAGGTAAGTCGAAGGGGTGGCTGCACGGATTACAGGCAAAATACGTCGAAACGAAATCCTTTCATCCCTTAATACCGATTTCTCTCGCCCATTGCCGTGTCGTTTCACGACCGAAGGAATGGGAGGGAAGTTCCACGAACGAGGGTAGAAAAAATAATTCTTTCATGATATCGAAATTTTTCAATTCCAACCACACGATTAAAACTCTATCTCATTACCATTTGCATGAAATGTTTTTTAAACGTTCCAATTACATTTTCATCGCAGAATGTATTTCTCGAACGATGCAGACGTCTCGATTAACCTTCGCGAGATATTTACCGTTGATTTTAAAAGCTCCTGGATGTACGCGAACGTAACCAATGTTTCGCTCGCCGCTATTTTTCCCCGGGTTTTAACCCAGTGAGAATAAACCACCCCTCGAGAGGATAAAGACACGGCGACGGGTTTAGCTGCGCGGCGTACAAGTCGGCGAGCGAGGACGACGAAGCCAGGATGGGAAGCGGGGGCCGGGGGAAGATAGTGGCGCAGAAATGCAGCGGAGAAATAGATTATGGCCCGCGGCCGCGGGAGGAACTCCGTTGTTCCTCGAGGAAAAGAGATTACAAGATGTATCATCGCCAGAGCTTGCCAAGACTTTATGGGGCTGTAACCGTTACAGTGATCGAGCCGTTAATGCGGTGTAATAATATCGATCCGGATCGGCTTAAACTGCGTTTAGCTTTATGCGCGCCGTTCATGAGATATTTCAATCTATGTGTCGGAAACTAAGAGATACGCGATCGGAATAAAACATATATTCAAATTTATAGAAGAATTATGATATTTCAATAAATTATAGAATACGTGCAAAGGAAGAAACGTGATATACCAATGTATTTGTGGAAACCATAAGCATTGGTTACTGTCTTGAAAAGAATATTATACCTCACTGAAAATTGAGTACCGTGTATCCCGAATACCGTTTCGCAATTTCGTTACCAGCGACGACGGTGCTCGACGTCCGCTCCGATCCGAGAAAATAGGATTTTCCAGCCGGATTTTATTTTTGCTACATCGCTGGCGGACTCGAAAGGCCGATCGCGTTTTCTGATAATGATTTACGATACGTAATATTCGTTTCCTGTTTGCTTTCGTAACTGAATCGTTGGAAATTGGTTCTGCCGCTGGGAAATCCCGCTAAATTTCTCACGGTGATACGTCTTTTCGTCGAAATTTCCAAAGTAAACATCCACCCTAAATACCGGACGCGGGGGAAAGGTAACAGAGAGACCAGGGAAAAGCTGAATAAAATGGCTCGCGGTGTATTCATCTTCCATTGTGCGAAACGCGGGCCGACTGACTCGATATCTCGTTCATCAATTTGATTCTTTTTCATTGCGAGTAAATATTTTATCATAGATAGAAGGTATGTTGAAAGACTAATAAATTTCTAATCAATGAAAGCGTCTTGAAATCAGCTTGAAAATGAAACATCCACGAGCGCGTTTCGAACGCCCGTTTATTTTTTCGCAAGAACGTAACCGCGCGCGACAGATAAAAGGAAGGGCGATACCGGTGCCAAGAAGAAGTGACTTTTCATATCCGACTGGCTGGACGAGTCACAATAGTTAAGACCCGCTTAAAACGACAGATTCAGGCTAAGAAAAAGAGGCAAGCCCCTCAAGATCGTTGCCAACGCGAATCGAGAGGGCTCGGAGCGAGTCGGGAAGCGGAAACACGGGGGTCTCGAAACGCGAGGGGAACAGTTCCTTTTGTTCTTGGCCGGCGTTTTGTTTCAGGATTACGAGCTTATGAAGTATTCGCGTTTATCTGTGGTGAGTACGCGATGCGACGACGCGACGCGGCGGGAAAGTCAAGCGGGGGTGGGTGGGATGAACGGGTTGACGGAAGGACAAACTGGTGCAGAGGACGACCGAAAGTGGGTTCTGTCTGCTAATCTGCGAACGGTTCCGCTGATTTCGAATTAATTATCGCGTTAAACTGCTGTCCGCGTTTAATTCCTATCCGGCAGCTAATTTGCCAGCTCCACCGTGAATAACGCGAGTATCAGGTGTCTGATTTTTATCATCAAACCAACAGTGAATATTTTTTCAATTTCGGGTCCAAGATTCTACACACGGCCGCAATTACAGGTTCTTCCATCTTCTCTTTTTAAAGAGAATGGTAATAATAAAAAAGATGCTAATCAGTCAGCAAATCACTTGAAACGTTACTCGCTGGTTGATTATTACCTAATTAGAGGCGACGTCTTGTAATTTAGCGCGGGTAATTAGACGATTAAAGGTGCAGCGAGATTAAAAAAAGGAGGGGCCACCGTCGGAGCCCGAGACTCGAATTCCGAATTCGTTGCGCTAATCTCGAATTCAGGTCTGCCACTTTCTAATTAAATGTCACGTTCTGAAGAGCGGCCTCTTTTAATTTACATTTAATTAAATCTATTTAATCCCTTCATCAGCCGGCTGCTATCTACAATACATTTCTCTGTGCACATCCTTTTATATTCAAACATTTTCTCCCAATTGAATTCTGATCACCCACCCTCGTTACCTATTACTGCAGGAATGACTATTATTAAAACGTTGTTCTAGATAATATCTAGGATAATACGTCTTCCAATGAGTCTCATGCACAAAGAAAATGATATCGCGTTGCAGAAGGGGCACGTCATGCGTGCGCGAAAAAAAAAACACGGTTACTTATCCATGGAGAGTGTATATATAAACAAGCGAAAGGGTCGATTTAGCGGCAATAAAAAAGTGCATCGACGCGACAGAGCAAAGCTGGTCTCTCTATAATAGACGCGCTCGCGATCGACTAATAATAACAGGGAAGGTTCTTCAACTCTTACCTTATTTTCGATACGACGGTGGGAGTGAACTCTAACTGTGGCAGTCCCAGCTCCTGCGATCTCACGTCCTCCAGGCTGCTGTACCTCACGTAAGTGCAGTGGACTATGGGCATACCTGAAACAGAATTTAATTCTACGTTAGTCTATGCGACATCAGCTTATTTTATGATTTCGTTATTCACTTCATTGAAATGAAATTTCGTTTCATTGAGATAATTCTGTTTGTTAAACGCGATTATATGTATAAGTACTTTCCTCATGTTGCGTTTAATTTATTATTATTAGACTGTGTAATGCATGCATTAATATAATGTCTGAATGGATACAAAGGAAATGCACATGTTTCAAAAGATAAACGAAATTCTTATCTATACATATATATATCAAGATACGCAGATTGATCGTCACATGTTTTAAAACTCGTCACTCAACAGGTACGCGATGACAGGTTCAAGGAGCGGAAATGAATTTATTTTATGGCGGGGCGCAATTCCCTGGACGCGGTTTTACTAATTCCGTATTTGAATCATGTTCACGCGGCAGAGGGATCGATCATCGCCGTTTTGGACCTCTGCCTACGGTCCGGGTGCTTTGTTCGACCCGGTGGGATCGCGTGAAAGGGCTGAAAGGGTGGCGGCGCGCTCGTATAACGAGGCCGACGGCGCGGCGCGGCGCAACGTCGAAAAATCAATAGGGTCGCGGGTACATTCCTCATAAATAAATATGAATATCGCTGCACCTAACCGGCCTAGCGCGCAGACGAGTATATACGGTAAATTTATTATAACCACGGCCGGCAGTCGATCCTCGATCCGCGTCTATGAAACACGAATCGATACGAATATAAAATTTCATACCCAGCGAGAGTTCCACAGTCACGCGTTCATGGATCTTTGTGAAAAATTTAATTAAACAATGGCATCGAATTTTCTTCGACTCGAGAATTCCCTACCTATTCGGTATATTATAAATTTTGTTTGAATATTCTGAATCCGGGATTGGCGGGAGACCTACTCCAGTTTAAGGAAATATCTGCTGAGATAACACGGTGAACGAGTGGAATGAAAACCTGCCGGAATAATATAACCACATTATCGTTCGCCGCGGTATACGAGGTACCCCCCATTGTTATTAAAGGATTATTGTTAAGTATACAATTCCAGGAGAAATATTTCTCTTGCCGCACCGAAAGAATAAAATAAAACGAATTCTGCGCAATGAAAATTAAACCCTCATTGTTTAATCGGCGAACCCTTAACTGTAATTTCTTTAAAATTATTCGCGATTAGTCTTCCGGGCCCGGATTTTAATTAATTCCGAACACGGCAAATAAAAACGATGAAAATGTATGTGCCGGGCATAATTCAAAGGACGGTGGAAATGTGTGCGTCGAGCATAATTCAAAAGAACAAAGTTTGCTGGGTATCGTGTCTCCTTAATTATCATTACGGGAAACTTGTTACGGATTGTTCACCCTGTTATTGAACTAGCCACGAACTGGGACAATGACAGAGTGAAAAAGAGAGCGGACAGAAGTGACAATGACGAAACAAAGAGCAGCTGCGACGGATCGAAAGCCGTTCGCTGCATCCTCGAACAGATTCGAAATCTTTGATTATTCCATGCATCCGGCTCGGAGATAATCAACTGACTCTTCTTTGTTTCTAGATCCTCTAAAAAAAATACATGCGAATGAACAAATTATTAATTACGCGAGGTCGAAAAAACTTGTTCATTCATTTGATTTCGGCTCGGTACCTTTTTATCAGGAATTCATCGCATCGGTCTCTCGCAGCCAAAAATCTACCATTGAATTGACGGTAGTTTTTAGGGGGAGGAGGAGAAATGTTCCCATTGAGAGCGTGGCGGCGAGGAAAGAAGAGCAGTAAAAACAAAGAGAGGGCCGTTTCGAAGAAACGCAAACTTCCGAATCCCGGAGCGCGAGCACCGGGGCGAATGGCGCGGGCCAACGATTGTCGGGCACTCGCAGGGTGAAACGTGGGAATGCAACTCCAACTCGTCGAGTTTCGAAGGCGCCTCGAGCACCTTTGAGCCCGCGGAGTTTATACTTACTGCAGACAGCTCGCTTAAAGCGCGAAATAGCTTCCCGCGGGTTTTCCTCGAGACCCGGGCTAAGGTGACGAGGGAATTTGTCGTGTTCTAAGCCGAGTCGACGGAAAAACCGGGTAATTCGCGGCACCGTGACGTTCGACGCGTTCCGAAAAAAAAAAAGAATCAGGCGAAAGGGTTGGGGAGACGTCAGCTTCCCTGACTCGCGCTGAGCGCGAAAGAACCTCATCGATTTTACAATCTTCCTGCCTCTTCTCCCTTCACAGGCTATTACCTCTTCCACGTACCCACCTGATAACTCCGTGTCCCGAAATTCTCTCTCCTTTTTTTCCCCTCCTGTCTCTCGCACCTTGTTCCGCCTGCTTCTTTTTTTTCCTCATCTACCGACGCACCCTTCCTCGATCTCGTCGCTTTGTTCCTCTCACGGACGCTTTTTTTTGGCCGGGTATTATGTTCCGCTGATTCGCAGTTAATGAGGCGAGAACAGAGCTCCGCGGAGGCTATTCTGTATAAACCGAGGATGCTCGCAAATTATGAAAAAAATTCACCACTTTCCTCGTCTGGGATCGCGAGAAGAATTCCGCGTCACAAAAAGAGGCGAATGTTCACGATTGTCTCGAGGTCCTTAAAGATTCATTTGAAAAAATTGATATAAATGGACCCGCACAATGCATACATAGTTATCGAACGTCAAAGTGGAGTGTAAAAAATATTTCTCTCCATTCAGCCGCTGTGCGCCCGCGTTTCCATGTCAAGAATCTAATGCCTCGGTATAGAGGCGCATAAAGCGCGTTTCCGCATACGTACCAGGGACTTCACTTAGCCGCGAGTGCTATGATTATTTGAAGGTGCACTCTCAAAAATTGGCTGGGCTGGCATGTGTCAGGCAACGGAAACCCGGCGCGTCCATTTCTCAAACGTTGCTGTTTAAAAGGCCCGACGCGACGGACCACCTCTTTGATGCCAGATCGCTGGAACTTTTACTTAAAGAGCTCGCATTCCGGTTAGCATCGGACGGCGAGCCGTATTGAGATTTCGGCGTACGCCTCGTCCGGTTATTTGTTGATACAGAGACGCCTGTCCGTTCGTCTATAACTCTGAATTGAATTGAATCGAACGCCCGCAGCAATGGGAATCGACAGATGTAAACGATAGGAACTTCTATTCAAGCAAAACTGCGTATGGAACTAGAAGCGAGCTGTGTTTTGTTCCGTTACACAGATTAATCTGTATTTTATCATTTATTTTCGACGCGGAATCGATTGAGTCGTGCTCGACGAATAAATGAAATAATTGAAACGTAAGAATCGGCCGACGAAAAATTGGTGTAATTCAGTTTGAAAGAGATTTACCGGTCGCACGGATCAGAAGATATTTCACGGCGCAGCGGCGCGGCCCGCACGTTTTAAATTACCCCCGGATGACGCACCTGTCACCGGGTCCGGCTAATTCGAATTTTCAAAAGCCTTCGCGTACACCCGGGCTCGCGCGCGCTGCGGACGCATTCGCGTCACGCTGTAACGCACGTGTAACGCGTTACACGCTCGAGATGAGCCCGCGATGAAATCCACGCCCGGCAGACACGCGCGTCTCGCAGTCGCGACGACGGGACGTATGTACGTGTACAACGCATTCAATTAATTATTAACGTGATTCACGATCGCGGAGAGAGTTCGCGGGAGTTCCCTGCTGGAATCGAGTGCGCCCCGGCTAATTTATTAACGCCGCGAGTTTACGGGGGCCCGAAAATTATATGTTTTACGAAAACCCGCACGGAAATTCCAACATACTTGCGCACTTGCCGGGATCCGGTTTGCATGGTTGAAAAAGTTCGCAATTAATTAAACGCATAATCACCAAGTGTCTTTCAGTGATGTTGCCGAAATGTCTTGATTTCTGTTTCCGTAACGAGAACGTTTTACGTTTAGAAAATTTCATGCCTGACGTCGAGTGTCACAGGTGCAGTCAGAAAGGCGAGCCGAGTCAGAACCGTGTGAAACATTAACGAGCAGGCGCGAGGATCGACGGGTAAATAGATACACTTTTTTTTTCGCTTACATCGACAGTGAATTTAGCGTTCGGCATAAAATATAAAATTGCGCACGTTTCCACGCAACCGGGCGTCGTTAACTTGCCAAATGCAAAATACACGCTCCGAGGTAAAATCTACGCGCGGCTCGCACGTTTACAACGCAAACAATTTTAAATTGCCCCAGCGTGCGTCAGATAGACGTACACGTATCCACTCAGTTCCACCATCGCCGTGGGTATGTGCATTCGTACATTATATACCCGATGCAGTTTTCATGATCGTTTATACAACGGTCGCGGGCTAGGACAAAGTTTTATCGCACCCCCCGCGCGTTATAGTTACTCGGCGAAAAATACGGGTGAAATAATTTCGACGCTCGTTTGCGTGTTTTTACGTCCTGGCACGGGGAATATTAAGTTACTTAACGAAATTTATATCGCGTTTAAAATAAATCCCCGACTTTGAATCCTATGCCTCATTTTTACTGTCCCAGGATTTGTGAAAACAAATACCTACGTTGTACCAAAGTGGAAAAATGCTCGGATAAAAACTGTAGTTACTATTAATTTTAATTCGTTTTAATAAAATCAAACGGTTGACGAATATTGACGATCGTTAATTAATACCTTTTCCGATTATATTAATTCAACCGAAAAAGATATTTAAGGCTAATGATGGAAATATTAAATACAAAATAAACTTCATCATTAAATTAATAATAATATCATTAAAAATCATGAATACCCATGGAATATGAAATACCCATGGCCACAGCAGCAGATTAAGCGATCATAAATTAATAGAGGAAGTAAAGACGACAAAAGTCAGCATTTAATATCACTGACACAGTGGCCTAGTTATATTGGCTGTCTAGACCGATGAGTGGGTCATTGTGCGAGGAGGACAAGAACAGCAGCTGCCCAAAAAATTACACTCGTCTTTACACGACGATATTTCTGGAACCGTAAGTCGGACGGCAATAAATCCGAAGGTCACTTAAAGAGGAGGCTTTT